CCAATATCGGCTCTTTGCTAGCGGGGCAGTGCTATTTAGTCTAGCCAGGCCGGCCAAATTGCAGCCCCCACACAGACACAAAGTTTTTTTACTCATTTACACCGTTTTAACAAGCAACAGCATTATTACTCACCAGTTCTAAATTACTTAATTTTCTTCCATTAATTACTATTCTACTCTCTATTGCTTATTGATTTCTCGTTTCTTATGCTAATTAGTCCATAATTTTAGTCTTTTTAACGTTTTTTTCCCCTGGCAGGGACTTTACAATGACTCTTTGCTAGTGTCCGACAAAATGTCCTTGTGGTCCATAATTTCTACATTTCAGGTGTTCACCCTCAACAGTACATATTTCTGTCCCAGGCTTTGTTCATTGAGTTTACCAAAATGTAAAGTTTCACTATTTTCCCAAGCTGTGTTGCCTACTTGTCAATGTGTGTCATTGGCAGCACCGGGAAGAGCCTGATTCACCTTCGTGGATATTTAGATATTTATACCCATTAATGAGGTCTATCAATGGCATTTGCTACCCTGATGGTGCCATAAACCAGCACAGCCCATTTCTGCTAATAGTAACCAAGAAATAGGCAAGGAAAATGCTCCAGTACTGCTCAGAGAAACAAGACACACTGTTTCTTGTGGGATAAGGAATATTAGGTTATTGTGCCTTGTAGAATATAGAGATATATTTATTAGGTAGAGCCGCTGTGGGTGGCGACCCTTATCTTCCACAAGCCCACCAAAAGAAGCTCTCACCTCCCTGTGAAGGAACACCAGCTTGGCCCCCGTGCCCTCCCCACTGCCTTACCCGTGAAATTCACAGTGCTGTTCCTTTTGCAGCACTCCTGGAAGCGGCACCTGAGCCAGGAGTCGGAGGACAAGAGGTGCCAAGCCATGAGAGCGCCTCCCGCAACCACCGAAGCGCTGAGAGGGTCAAAAGCCGGTGACAGAGTGGGCGCAAGAACAAAAATCACAGCAGCCTTCAGCAGCTTCATGGTGGGAGCTGCCAGCCAGCCTGGCTCAGCAGGAAAAGAAACCAAAACAGAAACTGCAGAAAAAACTTCCTGGAGCGGGGAGCCTGGAGCTGCTGAAGGGGCTGGAAGCCAAGTCTCCTGTAAGCTGGAGGTGTTAATGAGTTAACAGACTTATCACGCTGCTCCAGGAGAGCTGAAAGTGTTGTGAACAGAGCGCTGCATAGGCACAGTGAGAGTTTCACCAGGACAATCCCAGCTCTGATGGGAGGAGGACTGGAACCTCTCAGCATCTTAACCAAGGTGCTAATTGGGCTGGCGATTAACGGAGAACACAGAGATGCTTGTTTTGGGCTTTATTTGCGAGCGGTTGTGCACACACATCATTACACAGCCCGAGGATTTCCGTAGCAGTGCTTAGGGCTCTGCAATTCGCAGCGCTGAACGTGTCAGAAAGCTGCTGTGTAAAACCAAGTCCTCAGAGCAG